ATTATATTATAATTATAATATCATATTATTAAAATAATTATAATATTATTATAATATCATATTATATGATAAAATAATAATATTAGAGTTATTAATATAATTATGATATTATTTGTTACAATATTACTATTACATTATATTATATTATATTATTGTATTATTATATTATATTATATTATGAGTGAATTTTAAATTGAGAAGATTGTAAATTTTAAATTTTATTACGGGTATTATGGGTATTATAAAAGTTTCATTAATTGTATTATGTTGATTCCCGCACAATCTAAAACCTAAGGCTGTGTTTGGAGCAAGGATTTGTGTCATGGTTCGGATCATAGTTCATGGCTCGCTATAGTATTTTCTCTCATAAAAACACATGTAAACCGAGAATGATTCTGAATTATGGTTCTGAAACCATGAACCAAACGTCCACTAAAATTGTCTTTAGGTTACTTTTGATTTTGGCCGTAGATTATTAAAAAATTCTTCAAAAAATACTTTTAAAAAGATTTACCAAACACTAAATCAACTTGTGCTACAAACACAAGCGGATTTTAAGAGCTAAAAGTAATACCAAACTACACCAAAAGCATATTTAGCCTCAATTGCCGTACTTCAACGGGCTATAGCGACATAAAATTCAGGATTCAGCTTTGCTTTCAATAATTGTGTTTGTGTACATTTTCAAACGTCATATTGTATTAGAATATGCTTCTAAGAATATATAATGACTTGTCTGAAAAAAAAAAGTGGATATGTTATAATGACATCAGATAAACATTTGACGATGTTGGAAACATATTTATTAGTCATATATATAAGGTTGATCTTTACAAACATTTCTTAAGAAGTCCCCTGACCTAATGTAGTTGGAATTAACATGCACAAGTGATGTTATCTTACGTAAAGTTATCTTTACGTAACTATATATATATATATATATATACATAGATCAATAATGCACCGTCCAAAAGAGATCATTGTTTACAAGGCATCCATCCCCTCATATTCTCGTGAATGTCACTTTTAATAAGTTCATGTTCACATGCAGCTTAACCGATCGAAAATCCCATTCTTCCAGATATGTGTGTGTCTATACACACACACATACAGGATAATAGGATCACAACTACGTACATTATATTTCAAGCCTAGATTACACGATTGATTTACATAACTCTAAGTCTCCCCCATAATGGCTGTACAAAATAAAGAAGGGGCCAAAAAACAAAGGGAAAAAAATTACATGCATGTCCTGAAGTGTGATCAGACTATCAGTATAATTCCTAGTTCGTTCTAATCACAAAATAACGAAAAAATATATAAAAAAGAATCGAACATAAGTCATAGGTATTGGACCATGGTGTCACTTCCTCCTTAAGGCCTTTGTAGTATCGATCTACTCAATATGTGTTTTATCCCTTCTGCTTTTGTATGTTTATTAAAAAAAAATGGTAATAAATAAGTAAATAAAATTAATAAAAAAAAAGAGCGCAATCTGCCTTGTGTGGGGAAACATCGATCATTAACCAAAATAACATGTGTGGAATATAGCATGTTCAACTATGACTATGAGAAAAGTAGATATTTTTGTCAAATATTAATTTCTTCAACTTAATCTCAAAAGTTTGGAATCAAGGAGCACCGGCATGCATATTAACTCTCAACCCTCAGTTATATTATCATAGAAAAATATTAGCATCATTCTTTCTATCACTCTCTTTATCATTTTCTACGTTCACTGTTTGATACGTATACTGCATTAACATGATATATATTATTATTAAAACAGAAAATGAATTCACGTATTAAACAATTAAAATAGTGATAAAGAATGTGAGAGAAACAGTAGTGATAGTATTTCTCATCATGCGTGTATCCTAGACAAGCAATATTCAATATTTTGGAACCTACTTTCCCACAACTACAACTACGACTACGACCTAGAAAGCAGCATGTTCCAGTCCTTAATAACTCAAAAAGTTGAAAGACGGAGAAAAGACTTCCAGTTACTATTTCAATTTCTGCATCATCAAATATAAAGCAATCTAAGCACCAACACCACGTGAAGTTCACTATCCTATGTTACAAATTATATATATATAAGTTCCAAAGGAATTCTGAGTGATCTACTTGGAAAATAAGAGGTTTTTGTTGCGAGAATATGTATTGAACTATATATGTATTTTTAAAAGGTAACATTATAACCAAACAATCTTGAATTTAATGTAATTGGACAAAAGTTTAATATTTGTATGCTTATCCATAAGATATTTCTTTACCTATTTGATCTTTTCCTTATCCAAAAATTCTTGAAAAGTAAATTTCTTAAGATTTTATACAGGGAGTTATTGCAGATATGAAAACAAAGTAATATTATGCTTGTAATCATATATTACCGTGTGAAATAGTCATGAAAACTAATCAAATTATCATTTTAGTACATTTATTGAATTCCCATTTAATTACTACATTGTTCAAGTGCTTTAATGTATTTTTGTTACATTAAAGCTTTCTTAATATATAGAAAATGGGAGTAACAGAACGGGGTGAATTTATTGGATGGAGAATGGAAGTGACTTGTTTTATTTTATCACTCTAGTTGGATACACATGAAAATTACTCTTCTTCTTCTTGTTTTTTTTTTTTTTTTTTTTTTTTTTTAAAAATTTTTTTTTTTTTTTTTTTTTTTTTTTTTTTTTTTTTTTTTGAAACATTCATTTTCTTTAGTTTCTTTCTTTTCTTTCTATTTTTTTTTAAAGAGTATTTTCCTTTTTTCTTGGAATGCAACTTTTTGTTTCTAATCATGTGATAATGTATGTATATGCCATACACATATTCACTAAAGAGTATATGAATTCCGGTTGGTTTTAAAAAAAAAAAGTATTTAAACCTCAGATCATAGATAATAATTATATTAAATTAAAAAAATATACAACATCACATATTCACTAAAGAGTATATGAATTCCGGTTGGTTTTAAAAAAAAAAGTATTTAAACCTCAGATCATAGATAATAATTATATTAAATTAAAAAAATATACAACAGTTTAATGAAAATCCAACGGTTTAAAACAATAAAAGTAAGTCTCTTTCTTATTCTATGAGAAAATTTCTTAATAAATATATTTTTATTCCGTTTTTCTTCGACCTTCTTATCAGTATAGTCAATTTTTAAACGTTAAATTTAGTCAAAAATTATATTAAATTAAAAAATAGACAGAATAAATAATTTATAATTTAAATTTGACAAATAGAAACACACTGTTCATTTTTTGTAAACTCTATTTTTATTACGCCAATCACTACCATATGTTAGGTAAGTAATTAATGTGTGTTGTGAACGTGGAACCTTTGCGGGCGGCAACAAGGGCACAGTCAGAGACTCTAATAAGTTGGTTAAAGTTGTTCAAACATAACGTTCCAAGTCAAAATCGTCCAGTTTGACTGGCCACTCAAAGTTGGCCGGTGTTTTTTTTTTTGGTGCTGATTCTGAGAAGTATTGAGAAAATGACGAGATTACCCTTTCCCACCCTTTCTCGAAACCAGACAGAAAATGACTTTTATATTTCTTTATATTTTCTCAGGGTCCACTTTTTATCTCGAGGTAAAGAAAAATAAGGGCCCGTTTGATAACCTTTTTAAAATAATTTTATTTTCAATATACAAATAAAAATAAGATTATTTTGAAAATTATTTTGTGATCGATTCTGAAATTATATATAGTTAGTTTTTTTGAGAGACTATTTTGAATATAATAACAAAATAAAATAATATTTTATTATAATTATTAATTAATATATTATAACATTATTGATAACTACTAGAAAATGAAAAAGAAAGGAGAAAATAACTTTTAACCGTTTTCTAATTCTGTCCACAAAAACCATTCTCACTAGGTGCATTAGAATTTCAAAATGATTTTATTTTTTGTATGAAAATGGAAATGAAAACGTTTTCAATCTCAGACAGAAATTATTTTTGAAAATGCATTTATTAGTTTATTAAGAGATTATTTTCAGTATAAAAAAATTCATTAATGTCTCTCTCTCTACTCAAGAAAGGAGAAAACGAGAAGCAAAAAATGAAAAATGACTAAAAGTCATTTTTCATTTCTCTCATTTTACACTAAACCAAAAACTCATTTTTATTTCCGTTTTTTATTTTTAATTGTATCAAACGTCGTTTCTCTCCTGTTTTTATTTTTTCTTTTTCAAAAAACGTGAACAACAAAAACAAAAACAACTCCAAATGCAACTACTGTTTTTATTTTCTTTTTCAAAATATTTATTAAACAAATACTATTTACAGACTGTTTTCATTTTCGTAACTTAAAAGACGTGCATAAACGTTTTTAAAAATAAGCAAAAATCAATTTCAAACATACCAAAGATGTCTAGCTGAAATTCCAATTATCTCCCAGTCAAACCTCTCAAAGCAAAGTAGAAAAACCATTCAAGGCCTAGTTCACTTCGCGGATTCGAGTTTTTAATTTAAGTTGAGATGTGACATTTTCTGAGAGTTTTTAACTGTAAAAACTTAAAACTAAAAACTCGAATCGATAAAATGAACGAAACCAAGTGTATAAAGTCGCCCAAGGGCCAAATTGCATTTAAACCACCACGTTCAATTTACATAATTAATTCGCCTGACGAAATTGCCCTTTGAAAATAAAAAATGGTTTATTGGCATGGGTATATTCGTGGAATTCAGGCCCCGTTCACTTCGCTGATTCGAGTTTAGAATTCGAGTTTTTCTACAGTAAAAAGTTCTCATAAACAATCACATCTAACTTTTTTACTACAGTAAAAAGCTCTCACATAAAGTCACATATAAACTCGAATTCTAAACTCAAATCAGTGAAGTGAACGGGACCTCAATCTTGCTTATGTATTTACTCCAACTCTAACTAGTTTTGTTGCGTTGTCTTATCACAAAAGAAATAGTTTTGGTTGGCTTCTAGAAGGCCAAGTGTCCGCAGCTCCTCTGGCCAATTAGATTAGGCCACGTGTCAGTACATGTAGCAACGAGCAGATCACTTTTGCCAACTGAATATACGACGTGTCGGCTTATTATATTGAACTCCATGCTGGTAGTTATGATTACGATAGTACCCCCAAGTCATCTTGGTATTTACTGCCATTTAGGATTAAATTGTCTTAAAATATATATATATATATATATATTATGAGTTAATTTTAAAATTCGGCCCTTAAGAATAATGATTATCTCACTTTACCTGTGAAACTCAAAAATAACATGAAACTCCCTCCAAAACTTATAATAAATTGTAATTTTGATATTTTGGTCAATGTTCTTAAGACATTACGGGCTTATTCTTTTAGAGTTTAATTTGAGTATAATTATTGAGTTAAATTTGAGTTATAACTTGAGTTAAACTTGTAACTTGAGTTTGTATTTGGTTGTGTACATTTGAGTTATGGTTTGAGATAAGAATCTTTCAGAGTTTGTATTTAAGTGAGTCAAAACTTAAATTTATATTTAGATAGTATTTTAATAAAAACTCAATGTTGATGAAAAATTTTAAAAGGGCATAGAAAAAAAATCATCTCAATCAGAATTAAAACGAAAAAGTTATAACATTTTTAAGAATAGAAAAAATACTGTTCATTAATTTGAGTTCGAGTTTCTGAACTCGAGTTGAAGGAGAAACTTGAACTAGGCTCCGTTCATTTCGCTGATTCGAGTTTAGAATTTGAGTTTTGCTATAGTAAAAAGCTCTCACAAACAATCACATTTAACTTTTTTGCTACAATAACAAACTCTCACATAAAATCACATCTAAACTCAAATTAAAAACTCGAATCAACGAACTAAACGGGTCCTAAACTTGAGTTTGAACTCGAGTTTAAACTTAAAAGAACATGAACTCAAATAAAATTGTAACTCGAGTTGTATTTTTTTGAGTTTTTCACTCAAAAGAACAAGCCATATATTTTTAACAGTTTAAACATTTTTAGGTAACTTAATTACTTAATAGAGGATAATACAAATTTTAAAGAATAGATTTTAAAACTAAAAAATAAAAACAAATACAAAGTTTTTCTAGTTTTAATTGCATCACTTTCTTCTTTATTCGCAGTTCTCATAGTATCATCGTCCTCATATATTGTCTTTTACCAACCAATATCATAACGTACACGTGACTACAATTTTTAAAAGTTGATGTCTCATTAATGAAATTGTCAAATTGTACGTTTTGATAAATTAGGCATAATCTTGGGTCAAATTATAACCGATAAAAAAATGACGCAACGCTGTTTTTTAAGAAAAAAATTGAAATTAATCCTTGAATTATTTTATTTGATTTATCATATTACCAAATAAAGAGAAGAAAACTTTGAGGGTACTTTGGGAATAAGAAGCTCATGATTTATGTTTTGGATATTTTGGGAAACGACAAAAAAGCCATCTTCCCCAGCTGATCCTTGCATGTACATCTCTCTCTCCTGAAGGTGAAAATCTAGAGAGAGAAAGGAAGAAGAAAAAAATAAAAGGGTAGTCTCTGCGAAAGGAAGGAGGTTGGACTTTCTAGTTCCTGATTTTCTCTCTCTCTCTCTCTCTCTCTCTCTTAATCTTCTTAATCAAAAAAACTATGGAGGATTTCACACGCTAAAAAAAAAAAAAAGAAGAAGAAAAGAAAAGAAAAGAAAATTCCCATTTTCATCGTCTTCTTCTCTTCTTCCTCGCCAAAATTCCCTTCATTTCCCTTTTATATTCACTTCTCTCCCTCCAAACCTTTCAAACCTTTTCTTCTCTCTCTCTACAATTCTCCATTTTCTCTCTCTAGGATTACGCGTTCCTGAATTTCTTTCCCCTCTCCCAAGAAAATTTCTCGATCGAATTTGGATCACAAGAAGAGCAAATTGGGATCTCGATTTTCCGATTCCGATCTCTAATTCACGACCGGAATTCCGACGAATCGTTAGGGTTTCGATTCCATGGGAAATTGTTGCGCAACGCCGGCTCCGAACAAGAAGGGGAAGAAGAACAAGCAGAACCCTTTCGCCCCAGATTATGGCGGGAACCACCATGGAAACGGCGGGAGCAAGCTCTCCGTGCTGAAGGACCCGACCGGCGAAGAAATCGAGCTCAGTTACGAGCTTGGCCGCGAGCTCGGGAGAGGAGAGTTCGGGATTACGTATCTCTGTACGGACAAGGCCACTGGGGAGACTTTCGCCTGCAAGTCGATTTCGAAGAAGAAGCTGAGGACGGCTATAGATATTGAGGACGTGAGGAGGGAGGTGGAGATCATGAGGCAAATGCCAAGACACCCCAACATAGTGACCTTGAAGGACACTTATGAGGACGACAATGCCGTTCATCTGGTTATGGAGCTCTGTGAAGGTGGGGAATTGTTTGATCGGATTGTGGCTAGGGGTCATTACACCGAAAGAGCTGCTGCGGCGGTTACCAAGACTATCGTGGAAGTTGTTCAGGTGAGAATCTGAGGATTTTTTTTTTTTTTTTTTTTTTTTTTTTTTTTTTTTTTTTTTTTTTTTTTTTTTTTTTTTTTTTTTTTTTTGGATCTGTGTTAATTACTGAACTTTTGGAGTTTGATTTTGTGTTATGGGTCTTAAGTATTTGATATCTTTTATGGGTATTGATTAAACCCTAGGATCATATATAGAAGTACTTTGATTGTGATACTTAGTGGAAGCTTTTATTTTTATCCTTTTTAATTTAATTTTGGTTGCATGAAGTTAAGATGCATTTGTGCAAGTACAGAAGTATTTGAGTTGGATATTGGTGGTCAAATTGTGATGTGGTTTGTGTTGTTTGGATTCTGTGAATTGATACTTTTACCTTTTTATTTGCCTTGTGGATTCTGCTTTATTCAATTTCTCTGCTGATCAAAGCCACTTTTTTCTGTTTGGTTAGAGTGTGCACCAATTTTTTATCGTGAAAATATTGAAATTAAATAATAATTGGATATATTTTTCCCCCTCATTTAGCTGCTTTATTTTTATTTTTATTTTCCTGTTCTGATCGATCTCTCTTTTCCTTTTTTTTTTCCAGGTTTGCCACAAGCATGGTGTGATGCACCGGGATCTGAAACCCGAGAACTTTCTGTTTGGGAGCAAGAAGGAGACGGCACCACTGAAGGCAATTGATTTTGGGTTGTCTGTCTTTTTCAAACCTGGTAATTTGCTGTTAAAGCTTTAGTTGCTTGCAATATTTGTTTCAGTATTGTTATCGTTATGTTGCTTTCTTCCGAGTATTTTGGCTGAAGTTTGGCACTTATGCAGGCGAAAGATTCACTGAGATTGTTGGAAGCCCGTATTACATGGCTCCCGAGGTGCTAAAACGAAATTACGGCCCAGAAGTAGATGTTTGGAGTGCTGGAGTAATTCTGTACATCTTGCTTTGTGGTGTTCCACCTTTTTGGGCAGGTTGGTTTTCTTCATCGTTAGGGTGACGTTTGTACATGTCCACTTGAAAGACTTGAAACTGCTAGGGAAATAATTATTCTCATATTCATAATATACAGTTTCTGGTGCAACAAAAGTGTTTATGTTTCAAGTCAAAAATTTGCAGCGGTTTGTCTGAAGCTGTTTTTATATCGTTTCCCAAAGGGAGTGGTCATGTATCCGTACTGATTATCTCACTCACATGGTTATATTCTTTTTCACTTATGAAATGGTTATTTCTGTCTTCAAGGAGTTCTGTTGTTGGGGGCAAGTTATGTTTGTTGCTAATTGCTATACATTTGAAAGGAAGATTGAAAGGGCTTCCTGAATTTCAAGATCAGAAAATTTGAAGAATGTTTTTCTTTTTCACAATGTACAATAATATAGGAACTGTTTACTTTGCTTTTGGCTAACTTTTAATTCTAAATGTATAATCTTATGGTGCAGAAACTGAACAGGGAGTAGCACAAGCAATTATACGGTCTGTTCTGGATTTTAAGAGGGATCCTTGGCCTAAAGTTTCTGAGAATGCAAAAGACCTTGTAAGAAAGATGCTTGATCCTGATCCTAGGCGTAGACTCACGGCTCAGGAAGTACTAGGTAACATTCTACTTAATATGGTTGAATAACCTTTTTCACTTGTGAACTTTGTTAGAAACTTCTTGAGTTGAAAAATAGAAAAATGAGTAAAAAATTTCTGCTCTTCCAAATGCAGATCATCCTTGGTTGCAAAATGCAAAGAAAGCTCCTAATGTTTCTTTGGGAGAAACTGTTAGAGCAAGGCTCAAGCAATTCTCTGTTATGAACAAGCTCAAGAAAAGGGCACTGAGGGTAATGTTCAGTCCAATCTCTTTTTGTTTGATCTTTTTGTTGAGAAAATCTTATCAGGCCTCCCAGTCTGTTTTGATTTTTTTTTTCCTCTTCTATTTGATGTGGTGGTGAATGATTTTCTTCTCCCTTTTCTTTTGAAATGTCAAAATTAACAGGTGATAGCTGAGCATTTATCCGTGGAAGAAGTTGCTGGAATAAAAGAAGGATTTCTTCTTATGGATACTAGCAAGAGAGGAAAGATTAACGTGGATGAGCTAAGAACCGGATTGCATAAGCTTGGCCATCAGATTCCTGACGCAGATCTTCAAATTTTGATGGAAGCTGTAAGTAATACCCGTGTTTTTGTAGCTTTGGACTTGTTGATACTGATACAAACTCAATATGAGACATTCATGTATTCACTCACATGCATATGAAACCATCGCCTTTAATGCTTCTGTTAAAGATCCTAATAAGCACAATATGAAACATATTACTGTTGATCACCGTAGTCAGTAATGACAGTTTTTCTTCTTTCCACTTTTCATTCTCTTTTGGGTCAAAATTGGTTCTTCTGGATGGTCTTGTTTAAAATTTGTCTAACATGAACAATGTTGTGCGTCAACAAAAATTCATAACATTTATGATCTTCATACCATATTTGCCATCTCCATGCACTGTATGGGATAGTATGTGCTAGAACACGTAATTTATGGATAAGAAACTCAACAAGGTGTACACCCCGGACTAACTAGAATTTGGCTTTCAGGGTGACGTGGATAAGGATGGATATCTAGACTATGGGGAATTTGTAGCCATCTCTGTTCACCTAAGAAAGATGGGAAATGATGAAGAACACCTTCACAAAGCCTTTGAATTCTTTGACAAAAACCAAACCGGATATATCGAAATTGAAGAGCTAAGACATGCCTTGGCCGATGAAGTTGAAGACAACAATGAAGAAGTCATCAACGCTATTATGCAAGACGTGGACACAGACAAGGTTTGTGCTGTCTCTATGAATGTCTTCTGTAAGTGGCTATTCTTGATATATATATATATATATATTTGTTTTTGTACCCTGATTATACTACCCAATATAGCCAATTGTTCTTGTTCAAAGTCCATACTCAATTCCCTTCTATTCACTTGCAGGATGGACGAATAAGTTACGAAGAGTTCGCCACAATGATGAAGGCTGGCACAGACTGGAGGAAAGCATCAAGGCAGTACTCGCGAGAGCTGTTCAATAGTCTCAGTTTGAGACTGATGAAGGAAGGATCATTGCAGTTAGACAATGAAAGTAGATAGAACTCAAAGAACAACGGGGAGAAGTTGCATTTAAAAAAAAAAAAAAGAATCTTTTTTTTTCTTTATTGGGTAATTGTTTCCGTAATTATTCTCCTTTTCACTCTTTAGTTCCTCCCCTGATGATTTTCTAATCCTTTTTGAGAGATTATTTTCCTTTTTTGTTTTTTGGGGATGGGGGATTTGATTAGGATTTGTTGCACAGTTTGTTGGTGTCCTTAATTGGTATATGTTTCATTTTGTTTGTTGTGAGAGTAGTTGGAAAAAGGAGTGCGTTCGACAAGAAAGTTAATTGTGATTGTAAATATGTTTTGGAAAAAAAAAAAGGCATATTTTTATCAGAATCATTATCTTGTATTCGTGAGGTGAATTATTGGTGGAGACGTTATGGTTCTCGTGAATCTTACTTGAGATGTAAAAGCTGGCAAAAAACAAGCTTTGTTTGTTGTATTTCATGTCTTTCTCATGCATCAATTAAGGAAGTTGCTCTTAGCGAGCCTTATACAATAAATGGCTGCATTTCTTTGGCAGGTTTCAAAATTCAAAGAATATTATTGATGGTTAAAAATTAGAGCATTCTCTGGTGACCCATTAATTTGTGAATCATAAACGAAGCTTATAAACTTAAAATAAAAAGAAACCACAACTTTAACAGAACTCGGATTCCATTTTAGTGATATATATATATATATATATATATTTTATAAACACAAATGTTATTGGAATACGTCCACAGTAAATAATAAAGAACATTCACATTCACTTAAAATAATTAAAAGGACTCACACAATACGTCCATAACTCAAAAACACAAATTTAAATATTAAAAAGTATTGATGGGTTGAAGGATTATGGGGTTGAGTCCGTCCAAAGTTGACCCTACATTAACGTGAGTCAATTTCGCAGTTAATTTGACTATATACCATTTCATAGAGGTGGTTGTTAATTTTTACTATTTTATTTGATTTCCTTTGATTCACATCACTTTCAAGTGGTCTAATATTTATATTATCCTTCATTTATATCTAAATTCTCAACCCTTCAATCAATCGCAAATTAACTCTAATTAATCAGTGATTAACCATATATGGTTGTCTGGGGTAAAATTGTCTTTTTATGCATTGTAAGAGATGTTAAAACGTTTCCAAGAAGTAGTAAAATTAGATGACATTATTACAGTAGTGATATTTTCTTAATTGACCCCTCAATTTCGTGTTTAGTGGTTTGAGCTTTGATTCTAGCCATATTTCAAACGTCGCTAAATGAACCCTACGTCACCCTTTTTTCCCAACTCTATTATGCAATTTTTTATGTCGTGATTAAGTTGAGTTTGTGTCGTAAACCGAATTGCGATGCTGAGAAAGGGAATATCTATGCATGATACATACTCATGTACATATCCATCTATTACCTCCTATAAAAGGAGAATGCGTTTCAGCGTGTGCCTAACGAAGCCTTTCGTGGTGGTTTTCTTATTTTATTTATTTATTTTTTTTTTCTTTGAATTCCTTCTTTTTTTCCTAGCAAATTTTTTTCTTCTTCCTCTCGTCCTTTCTTTTCCTTCTTTTTACTTTTTTTTTTCTTCCAACAATTTTTTTAATTGGGTTTTTTTTTTTTTAATTTCATCCATATTTATTTGCACAATTTTGTTCCATTTTTTTTCTTTTCTTTCTTTTTTTCATGTTGTTTTCTTTCCCTTTATACATACTTTTTTTTTTCATTGGGCAATCTTTTGAAGTGTGTGTAATCAAAATAGATCTTGTATCTTCATTTTAAAATGTGTATGATCAAATAATTTTTCTCAAATATGTAACCGCGTAAACTTTTTTTCTTGCAGGTACTGCTTTTTCTCTAATGTGGTTATCGTAATTATGGCCTCGTTCGTTTCGTTGATTCGAGTTTAGAATTTGAGTTGAAATGTGATTTTATGTGAGAGTTTTTTACTGTAGTAAAAAAGTTAAATGTGACTGTTTGTGAGAATTTTTTACTGTAATAAAACTCAAATTCTAAACTCAAATCAGCGAAACGAACGATGCCTATATTTACTGTAACAAAACTCAAATTCTAAACTCAAATCAGCGAAACGAACGATGCCTATGTTTCTCTAATTTCCCTGTTGAAATAATTTCTTTTAAATATGATACTACACAAACATTACACTCCTAACTACTTTTTTCCATAGGAACCCAATGAATAATTCAATTTGTAATTTATCACAACAAAAACCCTTTTTCTCTATAAGTGTGCTCTACTTCAATATATATATTTTTTTACCAAGTTAAACTCTTAAAGAAATAATGAATCAAAAAAGGAACCTAAATTGTTAAAGAAATTTTATATTTTCATATCCAAAAGGATAATCACAAAGTAGTTTCAACTAATATATATATCTCGAATGTTGTACGATTACATAATGATCATCCTAGAAAAGGACACAATTACACTAATTGATGACGTCCCTCGGCGTTAAGCGTATAATTAAGAATACCACTACATGAGTTGTAACTTTCCTCTACTAACATGTACAATATGCTTTTTTTGCTCAACACGTGTACAGTATGCTTACTACAATTTGTTCTTTCAAAAAAAAAATTACATTTTGTTCAGTGTAATGTTGGAGAACATTAGTGCCTTTAATTAATTGACTGTTTTGCGGATGTCTACTTCTTAAATTCTTTGGGTGGAAAATAACATAGGCTTGTTCAGTTGCATTTTTAAGTTATGGTAACTTAAGTGTAAATTTTGAGTTGAATTTGAGTTATAACTTGAGTTAAAATTGTAATTTGAGTTTGTGTTTAGTTGTGTACATTTGAGTTATAGTTTGAGATGAGAATCTTTCTGAGTTTGTGTTTGAGTGTGTCAAAACTTGAGTTTGTATTTAAATAACATTTTAATAAAAACTCAATGATGATGAAAAATTTTAATAGGATATAGAATCATCTTAATCGGAATTAAAACGAAAAAGTTATAGTGGTTTTAAGAATAAAAAAATACTGTTTATTAACTTGAGTTTGAATTTACAAAAAAATATTTAATTAAATAAAATTGTAACTTGAGCTCAAACTTTTTTTGAGTTTAAGTGCAAATGAACAAGCCCATAATCTCCTTCTAACTTAAGGTCATCTCATGATTTTCAGATGGCTTTCACGAACTACCCATTATAATTTTTTTTTTTTTTAAAACGAGGCGTGCGGTAGACAATATTTTACTGTTGCTCGTTTTAGTACTCTAAATGAAGTGAAAATATTGTTAGATTGTGAATTTATCCTACATCGTTAAGTTATTGGGTTGTTGGAATGTTTATATGTAGTGCACAAGTGACAAATACTCTTTTAGAATACATATTTTTATCACTTAATATTTATTAATATTCTTTTTAGTTAAATAATTATATTAGTCAAAAAGATATTAATTAAGAGTAAGATGTAAAGATCCTAATTTATACACTCGGGTAAGTTTAACAATTTTCTCTTATAATGTACATTCTCTCCCTTTGAACTAGCCTTTGGAGGTGAGTTCAACCCAAGACCTATTCAACAAATGCTCTTCTTCAACAAGACATTCATCCCAATGTTAATACTGATGCCCAAAATGCTTAAGAAGAAAAATAAAATCCAACATAGTTTTGTAGCACTTAAGCTCGACATGAACAAAGTTTAATGAGCGGGGTGAACAAAATTTTGTCCTTAATGATGCTTAAGATTAGTTTCAATTCCAAGTGTGTGAACTTAATTTATAGCTCTCTTTTCGATCTTAAAAACTCTAAATCGAGTACTAAGTTGTCAGGTGTAAATATTCATATTTAATACCATTAAAAGGAGAAAAAAACTCATCAATTCTTCAAATTTGACTACATGCATGTCCACCATAGTGATTAATAATTACCTCTAAATCACGCCCTCTGTGGTTCATCGAGTATGACTTTAGTTTGTTGCATTCTTTCCGTTTAGTATGAGGATTCTCACGGTTTGAACCATGGTTCTAGTTTAAATCAATGTTTGTTTGTAAAAAGTAAAAAGTGGTTTAAATCCAACATAACAAAATCAATGTTTGATTTAGAAAGAAAAGATTTAAGATTTAAACCTAGATGTGATATTTTAACCTTTTTGAATTCCTAAAATTAAAACCACCTCCTCCTTTGGTTTTAGTTGATTCGAACTCGAGGTTCAAATTACACATGATTCGAACTCAAAGATTCATAGTTTAAACCTCAAGTTCAAACTACACATTTCAAAACCACATGGTTCAAACCATAACCCTCATGCCAAACAGTCATGTTTTTCATGAAGAACAGTCTCTCTAGGGACTTTCGAGGTAGTCTGTCTTATCACTGGTTCCTATTTGGGCTAAGAGATCTGCTCTTATGATTAAAGTAAGCTCATAAGGAACCTAAATCTCATTGAAATGAAACTAATATCTCTTATAGTGGTTTAATTGTGCAACAAAGTCTGCCGTCCAATAATAATAAGAGGCCCAATTTCCAACTCTTTTTCTTTCAAAAATGATGGTGATCACAAGTATCCTTTGTTGGCGAACATTAAGGCCTTCCATTTTTTGTTTACCGTATGTCTTTGAGATGGCTAGTAAACAGAGGCGCGTGCTTGTTTTATGTATTTCTAATGACATTTTTGTTTTGTTATATATGTGTATATATATATATATATATATATATATATATATATATATGAGAACATTAAACCCATAACTTCCATTTCACAGTTCACACGAATTCTAAACATTATGTGCTATAGGAGTATTTTCATTCTTTACCTTATGTGAAGATGGGCATGTGCTTAAGCACGTGCCTTGTTTGTATTCATATTGCAAATATTGACGGTAGAATATATTATTCTGTGTTTGATTGAATTTTTTTTTTTTTTTTTAAAAGGAACAAAAAATTATATTTATAAATTATGTTTTACAACTATGTAATTAACTTGAATAGGATGAATAATATTCTAGATTTTATATCATCAAAATATCTTTTTTCTCTTAATTTATCATTGACTTCTCCATTCATATTTGTCTTCTCTCTATTAAAATCACTTTAAATCTATGCCTATAGGGAAACATTTTAAAAATTTTAAATAACATTTTCCTACTAAAACACCAGGAAAACTCTGCTAACATTTTTCTACTGTTTTTAATATAATTTTCTTATATTTTTTTTTTCTAAAAACATATTATATTTGTTTTTTTCTCTCCGATCCATTTTCTTATTTTTTTTATTTTAAATGTAATTAGTGTTTTTATTAACATTTTCTGTTTTTGATGTTTTTTTATATTATCTACATATAATATATATTATCAAACAAATTAAAATAGTGCTAAATTATTTCTATCAGCACATATAAGATTCAAATTTAACACCCTAACTGTTGAGTAATTTTTATATATAGTCTAATATATATTAGCCATTCTTCTAAAAATACATACAAATAATTATATAT